TCGTTCGAGTCCTTGGTCTTGAGGATCTCGAGGAGGTTCATCACCAGGGTCTCGTCTGTGGTGTTGGCGCCCGGGAAGATCTTGCTCAGCGAAGAGTAAAAGTTGTCTGCAAAATCCTCATCCGGCTTGTACGGCTTGAGGTTCTCGCCTTGGCTCTTGAAGAGGAGGTAGTAGGCGCAGGCGTAGCCGCACTGAATCGGGAGGTAAAAGGCCAAGTAGCGGAAGACGTCGGTGAGCATACGCCGCATCATCGGGAGGAGGTACCCGACATCGCGGAAGGCTTCCAGATACTGGACGCACATGAGGCAGAGCACGAAGTGCATCGGGATGCCGAGGTAGACGCACATCTCGAACGGGAAATACGTCCAGAGTTCGCAGAGCGCGTAGACAAGGACAAGCAAAAAGAGCGGGAGCTGGATGCGATTCCAGTACGACTCGAGGTACGGCGACGGCGTCTTGGTGCAGACGAGCTTGTAGATCGACGTGACAAAGTGGGTTGGGACATGGACAAGGCGCCAGTACATGAGCGAGTCGCCGCAAAGAAAGACGGCGTAGTCGGGATAGTCGGCGGCGAGCTCGCGGAGCTCAAAGATGCAAAAGTAGACGGCGCAGAGACCGACGAGCCCATTGTTGAGTTTGACAAACGTCAACGAGTCGCAGAGCTGAACGAGGTGGTCGAGGTTGAGGGAGATGGCGGTGATCGCACATGCCTTTTTGTTTTGCCACGTCAAGAAGCGCGTCACGAGCAGCGACAAGAGCAGAAGCGCGGTGCCGCAGAGCCAAGAGCCAGCAATTTTCTTGAACTCTTTGTCGCCATCTGGATCGTCTTTTGGATCCCCTTGGATAGTCCCGAGCGAGATAGTGAGCGACACCGTGAGCGTCAAAAGCAGCAGCAAGTGCATGAGGAGCTGCTCGCTAAACATGCGAACACCAAACGCCTACACAGTGTCATTGTGTGAGCACATTCATTGCGAGCAGTCAGCGTGACATACCCGCCACTTGAGGAGTACGATGAGGCGCATCACGGGGTGTTGCAACAGCTTCTTCTTCTCGTCTTGGATCACATCACGGTCCCACTCGTCCATGCCGGCGGTCGCGTCGTTGTGCAGCAGCGAAAACAGCATCGAGTCGCGCACCTTGGTGCGCAGTGCTTTGACCATCTACGAGTCACGTCGCGTCAGAGATGCCACAGCGCGTCGGATGTCTACCGAGTCGTGGTCGTCTCGCCACATATCGAGGGTCGCGGCCACCTCGTCGAGCTCGCGGAGCTTTTGGTCCTTGGCGGCTTCGTGTTGGAGCGACGTCGTATGGCGAAACGTCGACCGGTGTGGATCGAGGGCGCTCGCATAGCGTCGCCGTAGACTCGGCGGAAACGACTTGTCCTCTCCATTGTCGCACTGCGCGTGTTCCGGCGCGAGAAAGGTCGTGGACGACTCGGCCATCTCGACCATGACACCAATGTCGTCACGGCGCCGGTTGCTCGGATGCATCGTGGTGTCCTTGGCGTCGTTGACCCGCAAAACTCAAAATGACAAAAATCACACCAATACGGCTTATCCACAAAGCTAAACAAAGCTTTGCGGCCATGATAGCTGCAAACTTTGCACAACGTTGTTGGAAAGGGCTCAGAAAGAAACCGCACCGATATCTCGGGAATCTTGTCGACTGTGAATGCTTCTAGATTTTACTGACCTTATCTCCCTTGGCTCGATAAGTGGGTACACGGAGTGAGGACACGATTCCCTTGGTACGAATCGGCGGTACTACCTTCGGCGGCTCTACCTGCCAGAGCGAAAAAATGGACAGCAAGTCGCTCGATGCCACGCGAGAGAGGAGGTGCCTCCATGGCTGGGCACCGCAGAGATGGATGCGATGCAGCATGGGCACTGTACAACCCTAACCTGCGCATCGATTGTTGTTGACGGGAGTCGATGGAGATATCATTGACCAAATTGTATTTTCGACTTGCGATTGATACGAAGAACGTGGTACGGCGAGGTTTTGCCGTTGGACGGGTGTTGCTGTTACACGGTAGCTTACACATTGAAATAGACTATTTGAAGTGAACTATTTACTAGCAGGCAACCTTTGTGTTGGACTCTTGGTGGAGCGACTACAGTGTACGAGCAGACTCGAGCGCGACCGTTCGAAGCTGTCGGTCGCAACAGCTGGCGGGACGCACCAGCTGTTTTCATTTGCACATGATTGCAGCACCCATATCATTCGACGAGCCTCCAGTGACCCAGCCGCTTCAAGTCTAGTCGCTCGCTCTTGGCGCCGCGCTTGCTCTTGCCGGAAGGCAAATCGTCGCACTTATCAGAGCATTGCCGTCTATGCCGTCATCGCTCGCGAGATGCTTCTGCCATGCATGGCGTTGTCTCGTGACCCGAGATAGGTTCGAATCTTTAGCTCTGCAGAAGCCACGCACCAGCGCTCTAACAACGTCGCGCAAAGTTCAGATCGCTTCTGCACTCAGCACCGCTCAGCTCACAACGGGTGTGAGCTCATTTCTGGTTTCATGGCCATCTACATCTCCGACGTGGCCGACGGCACGGCGTACCCAAGCTACCACCATCAAGACTCGATTGGCGTCATGGTCGAGATGACGCCGAGCGAGCCGTCGACGACGTACATGGCCTCGCGGACGCCGCGAAGCGAGAGCGGCCACTCCAACTACGACGAGCAGCACGACGTTGCCAAGCCATTGCCGCCCAACAGACGATTCAGCCAAGACTATGACGCGAACCGCTCGACGTTTCGCCACACAAGGTCATTGGCGCGGGAGGCTGCCAAGGCGCAAAAGCTACGGGAGCTCGAGACCATTGCATCCGACTTGGACGACTGGAAGGACAATGTTGCGCAGGTAGACACCCTGTTTCAACCATTGCTTTGATCTCATCACATTGCATCAGATGGCCGGCGCCTTCCGAGCCAAGGTGCGCGACTCGATGCTGTTCAAGCTGCTGCATCAAGACGCACCCGACGCCTTTTCGCCGTTTGATCTGGATGCGATCGACGATGCCAAGAAGCGGCTGCTGCAGCATCCCGTGATGCGCCTCATGGTGCTTCTCAAGTGGCGGGTACGCTACACATTGCAAGTATTTCGAGCCAAAGCTGAGATTCTTGTACGGGTGTAGGCGTTTGGGCTACGCATGTATTGCGAGCAGCTTCTCATGCACTGGCTGCTCCTCCTCACGTTCACCGTCTCGCTCGCCGTTGGCTTTGGGATTGACACTGCGACCAGCGCCAAGCTCGACCAAGTGCTCGTTGGGTGGCTTGTCGGCATGCCCTTCCTCTTGGTCTCGCTTCTTGCGACGCGCTTCTTGACGTGGAAGAACAAGGTGGTGTGCGCCTGCGTCGTATTTGTTCTTGTCAGCGGCGCGATCACCGGGCTCCTGCTTAAGTACGACAAGGTCAAGGCGCTCTGCAACTCGACGGCACCAATCGACGAAATATGGGACGAGGACGGCAAGGACGGGTTCAACAAAAGCTTTGTCTCGCTCAACAACGCCGTGCTCGGACTCTCGGCGCTCTACTTTTGCCTCTTTGAGTCGCGCGAGTTTGCGGCGGATATGCCCGACGATGACGTTCGCCGCGACATACTCGGCCGCTGGCTCCGCGCGTCGCGCTACATGCTCACGTCGCTCGTCGACTTGGTTTGCGGCAAGCCGACGTCGCCGTACCTCGAGTCGTACTGGAATCGCATCCAGCTCCCGACCTTCTTCTTCGTCTTTGTCTATGTCTTTTGCGAGTTTGCATCGCCCTTCTCGGCCAACATGCGTGTCTACGGAGGCATTCCCGCGCTCTTCTTGCTCTGGATCATGGGCGTCTCGTACCTCGAAGTCTTCCCCGCGGTCGGGTACCTCCTCCCGATGATGCGGCGCATGCTCGCCGACGTCTTCCGCTACTTGGCCTTCTACTTTCCGATCCAGTGCGCGTACACGTGTGCATACTACCTCCTCTTCAAGAGCCAAGGCTACGATCTCAAGCCGTACGAGCCGGACCAAAAGTTTATCGACAAGTTTAACGAGTCTCTCAGCGCTGTCTTTCCCGGTGCCAACACCACAGACGAGACCCTGGTGACGAGACTCCTCGAGATCCTCAAGACCAAGGACAAGAACGACATGTTTCAGGGCTACGAAACCGTGCCCAAGAGCTTCCTCACCACGTACCTCATCACCTTTGGTCAAATCAACATGGAGCCGTTCGACCAGCTCGCGACGACGTCGGCATCGATCCTCGGCTACCTCCTCGTGCTGACGCACGCGACGATCGTGATCGTGATGCTCCTCAACGTGCTCATTGCGATGATGGACAAGACGATGGGCGCCTACATGGACGAAGCCAAGGTCGAGGCGACTGTGACCTTTGCCGAGTGTGTGCTGCGGATGGAGAAGACGACGACGCAGGCGATGTCCGAAGTGTACTGGCGACAGCTCGACAAGTCCAAGGCGCAAGTTTTGTATGAAAACATGCTGCGCGCCGACGCCAACGAGAAGAGCGAGGACAGCGCAGTGCTCCACGCGATTGATAAGATCAGCTCCAGAGTCAAAAGCCTCCAGACGCGTCGCAAGTAGGCTTTGAAACTGTGTTCTTACAGTAATATATTGGTTGATTGATGGACGTTTGGCACGCCAGCCTTGGTCGTCTGGGCAACGCCCCTTGCTACTGCACCTTCGATTTTTCATTTCAAGTTTGCACTTGAGTTTGCACTTTGAGTTTGCACCAAGATTTAGGTATCGATAAGTTTGCACTTGAGCTTGCCAAATGAGCCTGCACCAAGTGTAAGAAATTATTGATGTTGGCAGCAAGTCTAAAAACTGAGTTTGGACGTGATCTTCTTGTCGAGTGCCTCAATTGCTTGCAGAATACCAAACTTGGTCGCGCGGCTCACATCTCGTAATGCGTCATGCGGTCGAGCAGCGTCCCAATCGTCTTCTCGCTTATGATGTTCGTCAAGTCAGCTTCTGTCGTCGCAAACGTCTTGGTCTTCTTCAGCCGTAGCACACACTCGACAAATGTCACGCGGGCCTCGTGCTTGGCTTCTTCGCGCGTCGCGCATAGCGCCAGCTGCATTCGGAAGCATAGACTACCGTTCAGCAGGCCGCGGCTCTTCAAAATAGTCGATAAAAATGATCGACCTTGCAGCCGCCTTTCCACGCAGTACTATCGTCGACGTTGCAGTATCGATTGGCGCAAGATCCGCACTGAACACGGACTAGAAGAATCGGTGGTCACAATCCTGTGCAAACACAGATGCTTTTTTTGGGGCCAACAGGGTGGGGTGGCAGTCGCCTTTGCTGCATTGTACCACTGTTCTGGCATCGGACGGCAGTAGTGATGCATGCACCGATGAGCGCGTGTCTCTTTGGTGCGAGTGACCTATTATAAGTATTCAACCCATAGACGGCTACCAGAACTCGTCGTCGCAAGGGCAGAAATGTATCGGCGAGGTTGGCGCGAAACTCAAAACAGCTGGTTCAGGAGACGTCACAGTTGCAGGTATACAACCGAGCGCAAGCCACATGGCGCTAGCTTTTGACGCAACGAGGGGCTGGAAATGATCTGCGTTCAGCACATGATATCTGGATCTAAGAGACCTGTGGACCAGAGACAGTACATGCCGATGCGGCATGCGAGCGATCTACACGGAAAGGAAGGCGCGGCGCGACACGACACGGTATTCGAGTACGAGTCGGAAGCATGTGTCGACTTTGCTCTCTTTGTTGCGTAAGGACCTCGTTCCTAGAAGTCCATCACATTCCGTGCGCCAAGGTGCGATCGTTCGTGGTGGACGTGGGACCTGGAAAAAGTCCTTGACAGAATTCAAACGCTCCGGAGCAGTGGGAAGCTCCATGATTCAAGGAACCGACGTGGTGTGGTGACACGCTCCCGTTTACACTTCCATATCTTGAACTGATCGCGCATCGTGCAGCGAAAACTGGACTGCGTCGGCTTGCAGGACGTGGCTCACAATCCTTTTGGCTCAACGACCGCACCATGGTGTACCACCTCCAGGAGACGCCCACATACGCACGCAACACGATGGTGGAAGAAGCCAACAACGACTCCACCGACTCTGTGAATGCTACGACCTCCGCTGCACCAGAACACCACCTCAAGGCGCTCGCACGCGCGATCGAGCCAACACGCGTGTCGGAGGGTACGCCAAAGTCCGTGTACGCTGGCCGCATCAAAAGTCTCGCGCAGGCCGAAAAGCTGCTCGATGAGTGCTTGGAGAAGGACCCGGCCAAGCGCGTTGAGAATACGAAAAAGGTATTGTGCCTCTGCTGGGACGAGAAGACTTTATGATTACTACGGCGTAGGTCGAAGACATTTACCTGTACATGTACACGCCCGGGCGCGAGACGGGCTTCAGCGAACGCAAAGAGTCTCTCCGCAAAACGCCGCTCTACCTTCTTCTCCACGCCGACCGCTACGACCAGCCCACGACGCAACCCGAGCACCACCCAGAATTGAACCAGGCAACGACAACGGACGTTGTGCTTGGTGCATTTGAGAAGAACGATATCAAGGCGCGCAAGAAGCACCTTCTCGACCACCCGGTGATGCGCGTCGTCATCACACTCAAGTGGCGGGTAACCATTTTCACTTTGCGCTGCGTGCAACTCATATTTTTACTAGGCGTTTGGCTTGCGCATGTACTGTGAACAGCGTCTCATGTTTTGGCTCCTCCTCGTCACGATGACCATCTCGGTTTCGATTGGTCTTGGCGTCTTGCCCGAGGCGACGTACGATGACCTTTTCATGGGCTGGCTCACGACGTGCTCGCTCCTCCTCATTGGGGTCGTTGCGACGCGCTTCTTGACGTGGAAGAACAAGAAGCCGTGGGCCTGCACGTTGGCGGTCACCCTTGCTTGTGTCGGCGGTGGCCTCCAGTACGTGTACGAGCCACTTCAAGCGCAATTGAGCTGGACCTCGTTTGGCCGCCTCAACAACATCGTGCTCAGTCTCTGCGCCATCTACTTTTGCGTCTTTGAGATCCGCGAGCTCGCGGCCGACATTGACGATCCCGGCTCAGTCAAAGCGGCCAAACGCCGCTCGAACGGTCAGTTGACAGAAAGCCACACTCGTACCTCGGCCAACCAGTCGGCCGGAAGAGCTAATGGGCTCGAGCTTGAAGAGAATCGTCCGATGTCGCACTGCGAAGCGCCCGAGAGTCCTTGGACGTGGGCCATGCTTCACCACTACTGCATCCACGCCCCAATCCATGGGATCAAATGCGCGATCGACTTGCTCCGCGGCAAGAGCACGTCGCCGTACCTCGAGTCGTACTGGAACCGAATCCAGTTCCCGACCTTCTTTGCCGTCTTTGCCTGCGCCGTCGGTGAGTTGACACTGCCGCTCACTGACGACGTGCGAACGTTTGCCAGTATTCCCGCGCTCTTCTTGCTCTACATCATGGGTCTCCAGAACCTCGAGGTCTTTGGCAACATCTCGTACCTCCTTCCGATGATGCGCCGCATGCTGACGGACGTGGTCAGCTTTCTCGTTTTCTTCTGGTCGATCCAGTGCGGCTACACGTGTGCGTACTACCTCCTCTTCAAGAGCAAAGGCAACGACCCCGTCTTTGCGCCGTACGCGACCGTACCGCAGTGCTTTGTGACCACGTACCTCGTCACGTTTGCGCAGATCAATCTCGAGCCGTTCAAGGCGCTGACGTCGCCCGTCCAGTGGATCCTCGGCTACGTTCTGCTGCTGACGCACGCGACCATCTCGATCGTCATGCTGCTCAATGTGCTCATCGCGATGATGAACAAGACGATGGGCAGCTACTTGGAAGAAGCCAAGCACGAGGCCCGCGTGACGTTTGCCGAGTGTGTGCTGCGGTTGGAGAAGACCAAGACGTTTGCGACGACAGAAGCTGACCTGAAGGCGGTTATTGTCAAGGGCGACTCGTCGAACGACACGGTCAACGAGAAGATTGAAACACTCCTCGAACGCATGTGCCGCTCCCGCCGTGTCACCACCCGCAACCTCGATGTCCTCCAAGCCCGCGTCGGCGACGTCTTCTACATCCTCCAGGCGCAGAACGATGGTCTCTTCCACGTGATTTAAGCGCGCAACAACAGTATTGTACTGTGATTTACGATTGATGAATTTCTTTTTTACTGTGAACACGAGACAAATATACTTGATGTCTCGCGGCATATCGCACTGGACGTCGGTCACTACTTTGCTCTCGCAACCTGAATTCACAGCTTGAGATTGATAATGAGAAAACCCTTCGAAATGGCCCTTGATGACGCCATTTGAGATGTATTGAAGAGTCATGCGACGAGGAGCAGATTAATGTTGTTCTATTTCACATAAACCTGCACCGCCAAGAACTTCCCCGACCACTGCGTCTACCGGTACTAAACCTCGAGAAGCGCGCGTAACTGCGATGAATAGTAACAACTTTATGAGCATTTTTATCATTTGTGTATCGCAGTTGTTGTTATGATCCTACTGCTGTTGTTCGTGCCCGCACAAGACTGCATAAAAATACCGCATCGTGGTGACCAGACAGCTCGGCGAGCGAATGCCAGCAGAGTGACGTCACTCATCGTCCGAGTTGAGATCATCGTAAGGTCGTTGAGCGTCAAGCTGGTTCCAGTGGGCGTGTTGGACGATCGTCACTCTGCCGTATCATTATCCGGATCCGGATCCAATTTTTGCCGCCATCTTGCAGTATCACAACGAGCGCGTGCAAACAACAAGTCCAGTTGAGGTACCTGTCCCGACATTGAACTCGGTGCAAATGATAGCACTTGCACTGCAGCGCATCATGGCAGTTGCCCACAGGATTCAATTTTGCATTTGCTCCCGCCGACATGCCGCACGCTGACGCCTCGCACGCATGCGACTTGGAGTGCGGTGCTCCAACGCTCACAATGACAAAGGCCAAACACATTGAGGCCTTGCACAATAGAGCACTCTCCTTCTTCCTCGTCCGTTCGCCGGGCTAGAGCGGCGCAAACCGCCATGACGAGAGTATCCGGATAAGCACAGTAGTTACCCACAACACGTACTTTGAGCATATCTACTCGACGAGTGCATGGTGTTGGACGCGTACAATCCTGTGCAACCCGCGGTGGCGCGCGTCGATGGCCACGAGAGAGCTCCACGAGAGGCTTGGATGATCGAGCCGTGTTCCAAGCTTCCATTTTTATGTAAATCGATGATAGCACGGGTGGTAGGTAGTACTATTGCAGCAGAAAAGCGGCGGGCCCAACAAGCCGAGTTCATTCCTCTGCGACCTCCCGTCGCCTCGAATATCTACCAATGGGTGAGCTTGAATTCCTTATCAGCCAATCCGAAAGCTCCAGTTTGGAGAATCCAGCCATGCGCGATCTGGATTGGTCGAAACAAACGAGATATCTGTCCAGTACACACCGCAGCAACTTTTACAACGCTGTGCAAGCGACGATCACTTGCAGCACCGGCCATCCCACTCACTGCCCATGCACAGGATGTCCCCACATTGCTCATTTTCGATTTCGCAGCCATGAAGTTTCCACATTTGGAAAACAGTACCGCCCGACCCGGCCCACCGCTTCGTGACCTTGAGGAAGGAAACACGGACGGTCGCCTGACCCAGCTGAGGCAAGGGGTGTCCATGACGAGGCTCGACGCGCTGCGTGACCAAGTCGAGGGAGCTGAAAAAGCTATCACCAACTGGGTAAAAGCGTCGCCCGAGGTAGCGCTCCATCGTGTATACCATGAGGTCATTGCAGATGCATTTCTAGGAGCGCAACTCGGCCACCTCGGATATCGCTCAGGGGTTTACAAAAGAGTTTGCCGAAGTCGCTTGGGAAAAAGATTTGTATATGCTCTTGCACCAGGAAAAAGCCGAGACCTCTACGACGAAGGCCACGAAGAAGGAGCTCTTGGAGCACCCCGTGATACGCCTCGTCGTGTTCCTTGGGTGGCGGGTACGACACTTTGAATGATATGACTTTGGTTCTCACCTTACCACATTGTGTAGGAGTTTGGTCTGCGCATGTACTGCGAGCAGCTCTTCATGCACTTGCTCTTGCTCTTGACGCTCACGGTGTCGCTCGGGATCTCGCTGGGGACCGCGACAGGACCCAAATTTGAGAAAGTCCTTATGTTTTGGCTCGTCTGCACGCCATTCCTTCTCTTGTCGCTGCTTGCGACGCGCTTCTTGACGTGGAAGAACAAGGTGCCGTGCGCTTGGCTGACGCTCGTGCTGTGGTACGGCGTCGTCGCGGGCGTCCTCATTTACTACGACACGCTGCTTGAGCTTCTCGAGCCGCAGAAGCTTCCCAAAGCTAGCGACTTGAAGTGGTTTGGTCGCATCAACAACATTCTCCTCGGGCTCTCGGCGCTCTACTTTTGCATCTTTGAGCTCCGTGAGCTCGATGCCGACTCGAAGAAGCGCACAGGGTCCATGCTCACGTCGATCGTCAACTTGTTCAAGGGTAACAACCCGTCGCCGTACCTCGAGTCGTACTGGAATCGCATCCAGCTCCCAACCTTCTTCTTCGTCTTTGTCTACGTCGGCTGCGAGTTTACGGCGCCGTTCTCGGACAGTATGCGTGTTTACGCTGGCATTCCGGCCATCTTGCTGCTCTGGATCATGTGTGTCCAGTACCTCGAAGTCTTCCCCGCCGTCGGGTACCTCCTCCCAATGATGCGGCGCATGCTCGCCGACGTCGCTTGCTACTTGGTCTTTTATTTTCCGATCCAGTGCGCGTACTCGAGCGCGTACTACCTCCTCTTCAAGAGCCAGGGCGACCACCTCAAGCCGTACGAGCCCGAGCCAGCGTTCGCGTCGAACTTTACGAGTGCCATCCACTACCTCTTCCCGAGTGCCAATGTCTCCAACGACGCAATGACGATGGCGCTCCTCGAGATTCTTAAGACCAAGGACAAGAACGATGTCTTTCAAGGCTACGAAACCGTGCCCAAGAGCTTCCTCACCACGTACCTCGTCACGTTTGGCCAAATCAATTTGGAGCCGTTCGACCAGCTCGCGTCACCGTCGGCGTACGTGCTCGGCTACCTTCTCTTGGTCTCGCACGCGACGATCGTGATCGTCATGCTCCTCAACGTCCTTATCGCGATGATGAACAAGACGATGGAGGCGCATTTCGCCGAAGACAAGGCGCAAGCATGCGTCACGTTCGCCGAGTGCGTGCTGCGCATGAGAAAGGTCGATACGTTGCCGGGTCAGACTATCGACTGGGAGGGTCTGGGCTTCTGGAACCTGTGCAAACGCATTATGGACACTGACGATTGCAACGTGACTCTCGCCAACAAATCACTGCTCGAAGCGATTAAGACGCTCACAGCCAAAGTCGACAAGCTCCAGACTCGTCAGTCATAGTCACTTTTATAATCAATACTAATCGCGACTCAGCTTTTCATGGACACGTGTAGTTTATGGTGGATTCGTCCAGGGTGGCCTTGTGCTGTGAACTACACTGCGAATACAGCGCTGCCTCGAAGCGAAACGCCCTGCGGCCATCGCCTTTGAGGTTGTGGCCGGGCGGAGGCTCCGAATACCGGTGCTTTTGTTCGCAACAAGAAAATTATGAGCGAGAAGGCGATTGGGACGCTGCTCGACCGCATGACGCATTACGAGATGTGAGCCGCGCGACCAAATTTGGTATTCTGCAAGCAATTGAGGCACTCGACAAGAAGATCACGTCCAAACTCAGTTCTTAGACTTGGTGCCAACATCAATAATTTCTTACACTTGGTGCAGGCTCATTTGGCAAGCTCAAGTGCAAACTTATCGATACCTAAATCTTGGTGCAAACTCAAAGTGCAAACTCAAGTGCAAACTTGAAATGAAAAATCGAAGGTGCAGTAGCAAGGGGCGTTGCCCAGACGACCAAGGCTGGCGTGCCAAACGTCCATCAATCAACCAATATATTACTGTAAGAACACAGTTTCAAAGCCTACTTGCGACGCGTCTGGAGGCTTTTGACTCTGGAGCTGATCTTATCAATCGCGTGGAGCACTGCGCTGTCCTCGCTCTTCTCGTTGGCGTCGGCGCGCAGCATGTCTTCATACAAAACTTGCGCCTTGGACTTGTCGAGCTGTCGCCAGTACACTTCGGACATCGCCTGCGTCGTCGTCTTCTCCATCCGCAGCACACACTCAGCAAAGGTCACAGTCGCCTCGACCTTGGCTTCGTCCATGTAGGCGCCCATCGTCTTGTCCATCATCGCGATAAGGACGTTGAGGAGCATGACGATCACGATCGTCGCGTGCGAGACCAAGAGAAGGTAGCCGAGGATCGATGCCGACGTCGTCGCGAGCTGGTCGAACGGCTCCATGTTGATTTGACCAAAGGTGACGAGGTACGTGGTGAGGAAGCTCTTGGGCACGGTCTCGTAGCCGGTGTTGCGATGCCCTCTTCAGCTATTGCATGCTTGCCTGTCTGCTTGCCGTCCCACGACGCGTCGGTACAGAGACGCCACGCGGGCGCGCCTTGCATACTTGACGCCTGCATATTGGTGCGGTCTGGGTGCGCGCTGTCCATCGTAAGCTGTTGGCCGCCAAGAGTGCCGATGCCACGCCGGCGGTCATCATCGTGCTCCACGTTCCGGCCATCTGCGCTACTGCGCTCCAGTGCAGCGATCGCGTCGTTCTT